AGTTTTTTGTGTAAGTGAGTACTCTGACCTTTCAATCTTTCTGAGGTTTTAGCAAAAGACTATAGAGTAACCCCTTTGACTTTTTCTCTACAGCATGTTTTCCTACTGGATCTTTATTTTAACATCCTTTGCCATTTTGGTAGGCTAAGAATTTCCAAAATTAAGAACTACTAGTTCCTTTTTCTTAAAAGGTATAATTGACATATAACATTGTGTTAGTTTCAGGTGTACAAAACCTCGATATAACAGACTCAGGCAAGGAGGTGTCCGTTAAAGCCGAAAGTCCGTTATATAAAAAAGTAGGTTTTCCAAATGTATATGTTAAAAAATTGACAAATTAGTTCCTTTAGCTGTTTTCACTTATCTAGACATGACATGACTGTGTAATTAAAATTTAAGTATGTATGAAAAGTTTAATTTCACAGAAAGGTTTGCTATATTACAGTCATTTTAACTTTATACTGAGTAGGTCTAGCAAATGCATGCATTCACATCAACGAGAGTCAACAGGTGCACACGGCTGGGGCGTGGCTTAGCGCACGTGGAACATCGGCTCACACGAGTTAAAACTGCTGCAGAAAGTCACCCCAGGGAACAACAGGACCAATCACCGCCCCCGATGCAGTGATCACGTGCTAATCGTTCGCCAAACATTGTTTGTGAGCAGTGACTCTTGGATTTCAATGTGTAGATTAGAGGGGGAGATATGTAATATTTATTTTTGTCAGCGAAATTACTAGTTTTTTTTCCAGCATATGGCCTATTCACTAAAATTTGTTAAAAATAACAGTGAATTTTAAAAATGTAACAGTGAATTAATAACAAACTAACCTGTTAACCTAATTATAAGCAAATCTTGGTTAATAGCTTTTTATAATTAACAGGGTGGCCCTGGCTGGTGTTGCTCCATGGTTACAGTGTCAGCCCACACACAAAGGGTCTCGGTTTCGATTCCAGGTCAAGGGCATGTACCTGGGTTGTAGGTTTGATCCGGCCTACTCCCTCCCTGTTTCCTTCCTCCCTCCTCCTCGCCTCCCTTCCCCTCTCTAATAATCAATGAAAAAAATATCCTTGGGTGAGGATTAACAACAGAAACAAAAAATTAAAAGGATGTTACTTTTCACATATGACACACGGACCAGAAATGTTGACCGTTAAATTCAAAGTCCATTAAATCAAGGTCCACAAAATTGAGGGTTTACTGTATAATACAATTATTTTATTTTTGTAAAGAACTCCTGGTTCTTGTTTAACAGGTCTCTCTTAAATTTATTTCTCTACTCCCAAATTTACTGTCACAAAAAAAAACCAGGCCGCACCTCAACACTGTTTAGAAATCTCAGTTTCATTGATTAGAAGTCCTGCTTGCCACATAACTGCAGGACACAATTCCACCAACTTTCTGTCACTACATAACAGGGATCCCCTTTCCTCCAGTTTCTATCATCTTCCCCATTTTCTTCTGAGTTTTCACTAGCAGCACCTTTAAGGCCCATATTTTATTTTATTATTATTTTTTAATCCTCACCTGAGGATATTTTTCCATTGCTTTTAGAGTGGAAGGGAGGGGAAGGGGAGGTGGGAAGAGAGAGAAAAAATATCGATGTAAAGAGACACATCGATTGGTTGCCTCCCACAGGCACCCCACTGGGGCAAGGAATGAACCGGCAACCCAGGTACATGCCCTTGCCAGAACCAAAATCCAAAACCCTTGGGTATGTGGGCCAATGCTCTAACCACTGAGCACCAGCCAGGGCAAGGCCCATATTTACACGGACAGTCACTTCTCTGTAGCAGAGTCATTGACATCCACATTTCTAGTAACGGTCTGTTCAAGTCAATACAGGCTTTTTCTATCATGCTCTTCAAAATATTTCCAGCAGCTGCTCACTGCTCAATTCCAAAGCCACTTCTACATTTTTAGATATTTGTTATCTAATAAGCAGCACTTCCAGGTAACAAAATCTCTATTAGTTTTCTGTTCTTATTTTTCTAGCTTTGAGATATAATTGACATATAACATTATGTAAGTTTAAGGTACACAACATATTCACTTGATACACTTCTATATTGCAAGACCCTACTGGTTTTCTATTGCTGCTGTAACAAATTACCACAAACTTAAAGGCTTAAGACAGCCGTGGGCAAACTACAGCCAGCGGGCGGATCCGGCCCGTTTGAAATGAATAAAACTAAAAAAAAAAAAAAGACCGTACCCTTTTATGTAATGATGTTTACTTTGAATTTATATTAGGTCACACAAACACTCCATCCATGCTTTTGTTCCGGCCCTCCGGTCCAGTTTAAGAACCCATTGTGGCCCTGGAGTCAAAAAGTTTGCCCACCCCTGGTTAAGACATTCATTTCTTTATCTTTCAGCTCTGTAAGTTAGAAGTCCAAAACAGGTTGCACTGGGCTAAAATCAAGGTGTCAGCAGGGCTGCATTCCTCTCTGAAGGCTGTAGGGGTGAGCCCATTCCTTACCTTTTCCATCCCAAACAAAAGTCCTTGGCTCACGGCCCCCTTCCTCCATCTCCAAATCCAGCAAGACTGCATCTCTCTGACCTGGCTTCCGTCAACACATCTCCCTATGACCCTTCCTCCTGCCTCCCTCTTCCCCTTTTAAGGACCCTTAGCCTTATATTGGGCCCATCTGGATAATCCAGGATACTCTCCCTACCTGCTGATCAGCAACTTTCACTCCCTTCCGCCACGTGATGTAACATAGTCACAGGTTTTGGGAATCAGGACGGGGCTATCTTTGAGGGGGGGAGGGGCATTATTATTCTACCTACCACATTTACTAATCACTTAAAATGAACAAAAAACCAACCATAATTTAAGGCAGCCTAATAAGATTCAGAGGGAATATTAGCAATTAAACAAACAAAAAACTCTCAATCAATAGTTGACTAATCTATTTTCAATTTTTCCAATATTTAGTGAAGCTAGCTGATCTAGTGAAGATTTCCTATGTCTTTCTTGTGGCAGACACTGTTCATTGGCTAACCCGATACCTATTTCCAACCCGTTCTTCCTTGCCTGCCCCTAATACTTGGGCTATAAAAACTAAATACTCACTTTCCCGAACGCCTAAGGATGGTCATATAATACAGCTGTGCCAAATGAAATCTAAAAATTGCCTTGGGAAAAGCTATTGCATAAAACTGATAAAAGAGTCATCCAGATGGTGCTGCCCTCCCTGGCCCCCTTCCCAGTACCCCACCCACCTTGAATGGTGCACTTCCAGTAATTCAGGTATCTATTTTGCAATAATGTGAGAATATCCACGAGAATTCAAGAGACACCAGCCCTGCCACTGTCGAACTACTGAACCAACACCAGCTACTCTAGCCTATTTTGTTTCAGTGACTATTTACACTGCCTTTCAGCTTCCAGCTGAAAGCTCTGGAAATTGAAACTACAGTCAACACAACTGCTGGTTAAACATAAGCACCCACCTCCAAAATTTATTTTGTTTTACCAAAGCCATATTCACTTCAGTGAGTTATAATTAAGAAGGCAATTATTTTTTAAATAGCATCTGTTACATATTTTAGAACTCTAAATTATACATACTCATTCTAGGACATTTGGAAATGATCAAAAGTTTAAAGAAAATAACTAGCCACAACCCCAAATATCCAGAAATAACCTCCTGATAATATATCAGTGCATTTCCATCCACATGTTTTATGTACATATATAAAATATTTTTTTTAAAGTGAAACTATATGGAATATGTAGACTTGAATCCAACTCTCATCCAGCCCTATATTGAGGACTTTTCCACATCACTAAAGATATTTCAGCCCAGCTGGCGTGGCTCAGTGGTTGAGCATTAACCAATGGACCAGGAGGCCATGGTTCGATTCCTGGTAAAGGCACATGCCCGAGTTGTGGGCTCGATGCCCAGTGTGGGGCGTGCAGGAGGAGGCCGCTCAATGATTCTTTCTCATCACTGATGTTTCAATCTATCTCTCTCTCTCCCTTCCTCTCTGAAATAAAAAAAAGGATGTTTCAAAATATTTTCAAAAAATTAAAAATCAGATTATGAAATATGATTAAGTAATCATTAGGCATTTAAGTTGTTTTATCCTTTTTGCCAGTGTAAACAGTGTTGCAGTGAACATCACTGTATACAAGTCTTTCGGTGCTCTCTCTGATTATTTTCTGAACATTGTTGCATAGATGTGGCATTATTGGGTCAAAGGGATAAACCCTTTCAAACATTCAACCCAGGGTTGGGCAAACGTTTTGACTCGCGGGCCACAATGGGTTCTTAAACTGGACCGGAGAGCCGGAACAAAAGCATGGATGGAGTGTTTGTGTGAACTAATATAAATTCAAAGTAAACATCATTACATAAAAGGGTACGGTCTTTTTTTTTTTTTAGTTTTATTCATTTCAAACGGGCCGGATCCGGCCCGAGGGCCGTAGTTTGCCCACGGCTGATTCAACAAAAGTTGCCAAACTGCTTTTTAGAGAAACTGAATCAATTTCTTTTTCTACCTTCTTTCTGTATACAAAATGGTCTCCCTTACAAGTAATGACTGTCTTTTTTCTTTTGCCAATTTGAGGAGTAAAAATATCATAACTCATTTACATTTTCTGGTTACATTTTCTGAAAACAACTAAAGATATTTTGAACCTTTATATTGGTTATTTTATGAATTATCACTTGGAATTTTTTCAAGTAGAGGAGTTCTTTCTATTATAAATATTCTGATGTAAATATTTTATTTCAGTGTAACACAACTCTTTAGTTTTGTTTACATATGTTTTAAACATTTAAAATTTAATCATATCTATCATGTTATCAGATAGGGATGGTTTTTACATGACAACACATTTCAGAAAAGAATGCTTTGAGATATTATATTCTTTTAAATTCCTATTGACTTTCTTACAGTCAAACAAGTAAAATTAATATCAAGAGAACAACAAGCATTCCCACTAAATAAATAAGTATTCCACCCTAGGTTTTGACCATTCACTTACCTGCTTGTGACAATGATGACATCCTCAGAGATGTTAGCCATTTCTTTGATGGTAAGGTAGCACATTCTTCTCAATATTTGCTGAAATTATTTATAAAAGGCAACAGGTTATTCCTAAGAAAATAGCTTTCTAAAATGTTTGAAATGAGAACACCAAGTAGATATATTTAGGAAGTTTTTCTTAAAAAGATTCTCATCCACCCAAAAAAGTCCTTTCAAAAATATCTGGGTAAGAAAATACTCAGAATACAACTATATCCTAAACACAAGTAGTTGCTGCACTGACATTGGAAAACACCTAGATGAAAACTCAAAATTTCAGTTAATTATCTGGATTTTTATGTAAAGAGACCCAAAGTTGGACTTGGGCAGTGTGAGTCCAAAGACTTAAGATTTTCTTTTTATTGTTGACTCTATTGCATGTGTCCCCATCTTCCCCCCCTTTGCCTTCCTCCATCCTGCCCCCGCCCCCCTGGGTCTTCACCACACTATTGTCTGTGTCCATGGGTTATACATATATGCAGATATATTCTTTGGTTGATCAATTCCCATCCTCCTCATCCTCTTTCCCTCTGAGATCTGTCAGTCTGTTCCATGTATCCATGCCTCTGGTCCTATTTTGTTCATCAGTTCATTCTGTTCTTTAGATTCCTCATATAAGTGAGATTATGTGGTACTTGTCTTTCTCTGAGTGGCTTATTTCACCTGTTAAAGACTTGTCCCGGGAAGTGTATTTTTTAAATTCTTTAAAAATAAAAATATAAAGGGATGGGCAGACTCTGCATTTTCCTTAGTTCATCATATACAGATGTTTTCCTTAAAGTATCCGTGGTTGTATAACTAACTCTCATTTTCAACTATTAACATTTCTAGATACCTAGATCTAAAATACATGTTAAGCTAACAATAATAAAGTTTTGTCTACCCTTTCTCCTCACCTGGATCTCTGATTTATCCATACACTATGAGCATTGGTTCCTCTGGCCTGTCTAGTCTCATTCTCTACCAAGTAACTTCAAATGTCTATAAGTAGTGAAACTCAAATACATCAGACCCAGCCTCAGAGTCTAAGCTATAGAAAGAATCTAGTGGAGACTACTGAGCCCAATAAGAAAAAGGAACAAGAGTGTGAGGGTTCTCATGGTGATTAAACACACACACAAAAAAAAACTCCTAAAAAGAGAAAGCCAGTACAAGGCAGATATCTCCATGTGAAACTACTAGGAGAAGAAAACAGAAAATAAGAATAAAACTTCAGAGCTGAATATAAAAATAAAAATCTACCATGAAGGAGAATAAAACTGAAGATAGAAAAAAATTAAAACCACATTTCAAATACCCAACAAAATGACTAAAATTTTTTAAGTGACAATACAAAGTATTGACAAAGTTGGGCTCATACCTACTAAAACATATTGCCTAAACAAATATACAGAGATGCTAAATAAAATAGGAACAAAAATTTTAAATATATAGCCCAGGACAAAATAAAGGGCAATTTATAGGTGCCAAAAATGGAAAAACAAACAACTCCTAGCTACAGAAATACAAGGCCAGGGTCCTACTGGCATAGAATAAAGTCTAAGAAGGTATATTCTTCAGGCACAGGGAAAATTATTCTAGATAATAATTCAGAAGTATAGCAAGAAATGAAGAGTAGAAAGAAAAAAGTGGTAAATAGTAACAAGACAGTGTGGTATTGGCAAAAGAATAGACAAATTGATCAATGGAATAGAACAGACCACCCAGAGATACACCCACATAAATATAGTCAACAGATCTTTGGCTTAAGAGAAAAGGCCATACATTGGCACAAAGACAAACTCTTCAACAAATGGTACTGAAATAACTGGACATCCACATGCAAAAAATTAAATCTAGACTGACCTTACACCATTCACAAAAATTAACTTCAAATGGATCACAGACCTAAATATAAAATGCAAGTAAAACTTAGAAGAAAACCTAGATAACTCTGGGAATGGAGATGACTTTTTAAATACCAGTATAATACCCAAGGAATGATCATAATAGAAATAATTGATAAGCTGGCCTTTATTAAAATTAAAAACTTCTGTGCAAAAGACAGTATTCAAGAGTATGAACAAGCCACAGACTGGAAGAAAATACTTTCAGAACACATATCAGAGAAGGGACTGTTATCCAAAACATATTTTAAAAAAATCTTAGCCTGCCCGGCATAGCTCAGTGCTTGAGCATTGACCTATGAACCAGAGGTCATGACGGTTCAATTCCCAGTCAGGGCACATGCCCGACTTGCGGGCTCGATCCCCAGTGGGGGATGTGCAAGAGGCAGCCAATCAATGATTCTCTCTCATTATTGATGTTTCTCTCTCTCATTCTTCCTCTTCTTTCCTCTCTGAAATCAATAAAAATATATATTTTTAAAAATCTTACAAGTCAAAAATAAGAAAACAACCTGATTTAAAAATGGACCAAAGACCTTAACAGACACCTCACTTAGGAAGATATATGGGTGGTAAGTAAATATATAAAAAGATGCTCCACATATGTCATCAGGGAAAGGCAAATTAAAATGAGATACCACTAATACTCCTAATAGAATGGCCAGAATCCAGAGCACTGACAACAGCAAATGACAAGAACTCTCATTCACTGAGGGTGGTCACAAAAATAGTACAGTCGCTTCAGAAGATGTTTTGATGGTTTCTTACAAACTAAGTATACTATTACCATATGATCCAGCAATAGTGCCCCTTGATATTTACCCAAAAGAGTTGAAAACTTATGTCCACGTAAAAATCTGCACAAGGATGTTTACAGCGGCTTTACATTCATACCTGCCAGAAGTTGAAAGGAACCAATGTCCTTTAGTAGATGAATGGATAAACTGTGGTACATCCAGACAATAGAATATGATTCAGCATTAAAAATAAATGAGCTATCAAGCCATGAAAAGATATGGAGGAAACTTAAATGCATATTAATTAACAAGTGAAAGAAGCCAATCTGAAAAGGCTATACTGTATGTTGTATAAGTCCAACTATATGGTATTCTATAAAAGGCAAACTTATGGAGACAGTAAAAAGATCCATAATTGCTGGGTATTAGTGAGGAGGGAATGGAGTTAGGGGGGAGTTAAGTGGAGTACAAAGGATTTTTAGGGTAGTGAAAATACTGTGTGATATTTTCATAATGAATGGATAGCATTATACACTCTGTGGATGTCAAAACCCATAGAATATACATACACCAGGACTGAACACCAACATAAACTATGGACTCTGGGTCACTATGAGGTACAGTAAACCCTTAATTTTGCAGACCTCAATTTAACGGACTTCAGATTTAATGGATAAAATTTCTAGTCTGTATGTCCTATGTGAAAATGAACACCCTGTCAATTTTTAAATGCTTTTAACCGAGATTTGCTTATAACTAAATTAACAGGTTATTTTTTGTTATTAATTCACTGTTACTTTTAACAAATTTTAGTGAATAGGCCATATGTTGGAAAAAACACTGTAATAATTTCACCAACATAAATAAGTATTACGTATTGACAACTCTAGTCTACATACATATTTAAATTCAAGTGTCATTGCTCATAAACAATGTTCAGGTGAGTGATAAGCATGTGATCACACCGCACTGCACTCAGTAACTGGTCCTGTTGTTCCCTGGCGGGACTTTCTGCAGCAGTTTTATTAACACGTGTGGGCTGATGTTCCCACATGCGCTAAGCCATGCCCAGGCGTGTGCACTTGTTTACTCTCGGTGACTGGTGAATGCATTCATTTGCTAGACCTATTCAGTATAAAGTTAAACAGTAATACATATAGAAAACTCCTATATGTATTACAGTAATACATACAGAAAACTTCTGTGAAATTAAACTTTTCATTCATAATTTTAATTGCACGAACATATCTACATAAGTAAAAAACAGGTAAACTAACTAATTTGTTAATTTTTTAACATATGCATTCAGAAAACCTACTTTATTATATATATCAGACTTTCGGATTTAACGGACACCCCCCTCTCCCAAATTAGTCTGTTATATCGAGGTTTTACTGTATCAATGTAGGTTCGTCAATTGTAACAAATGTACCACTTTGGGGAATGTTGATAATGGGGAGGCTGTGCATGTGAGGGGACAGGGGGTATATGGAAAATCTCTGTACCTTCCTCTTAATTTTGCTGTGAACCTATAACTGCTAAAAAATAAAATAAAATCCTTTATTGAAAAGTGGTAAAGACATGAGTAAATGTGCATGAACAGAAACCGCGGTTATGACATACACTGTTTATATACTCACACATATATTAAGTACGAAGCATCCTAAGGTTCTCAAATGTCCACGAACAGGTAAAAGGTAAAGATGAATATTAGACTTTTGATAAGTCAAAAGTCCATGTTGCAATTTCTAGGCTAAACACTAAATAGAACTTCGAAACTATTATTCCACATGTTGTTGCTGCTGTTCTGTTTATTTTTATTCAGTCTCTTTTCTGTTTCATTTTGGATAGTTTCTATCTTCAAATTCACTGATTTTTCCTCCTGTAGTCTTTAATCTGCTATTAACCCAATGCAGTGTATTTAACCCAATGATAAATAGATAGATAGCTTTTTAAAAATTTCTGAGTGTCTCTAGATGTTTTATTTTGCTTCTCATTCTTGTTATGTCTTTCTAAACATTCTTAAGCATCTAGACCAGCAGTCACTAACCGGTGGTCCGTGGACCACTGGTGGTCCGTGAGGTCCGAAAGGTTGGAAACCGCTGATCTAGACCATATCTAGAATAGCTATTTTAACGTCATTACCTGCACATCCATCGTCTTTATTATTTCTGGGTTCGTGTGTGTTGATGCATTTTTCTCCAGATTATGAATAATTTTTTATTACATGCTATACATTGTGAAGTTTATGTTGTTAGGCGCTGAATTTTGCTGTATATTTTACATAATATTGTATATATTGTTTACTCTATCATGAAGTTAAGTTACCTGGGATCAGTTTTTCACGTTTCAGGCTTGTAAGAGGTTTAAAGCTTTAGTCTGAGGCTAATATATTCCCACTAGAGTCCTGGTGCAT